AAACCTTACAGTTTATACATAAGCTTGGGGAGGAAGGGGTCTAGTGAATCTGGTCAGTTTCAGGGACTTACCAAAGCTACTGGGTCGCTAGTTGCCCTGAAGGATGGAATATTTCACCTCCCTTTGGAACATCCTATATCTTAAGGAGCTTCCCACTTTCCCTCCAAAATGGAAGGTTTAGCTGGACATGGTGGTGCATATCTTTAATCCCAGCACTCGGGAGGCAGAGGCAGGTGATCTCTGTGAGATGGAGGCCAGCTTGATCTACATAGCGAGTTCCAGGCCAGCTGGAGCTACAGGGAGACCCTGTCTCTAAAAGACCCCAAAATAATAAAATAATAATAATAATAATAAATGGGGGCTGGAGAGATGGCCCAGTGGCTAAGAGCAGTGGCTGTTCTTGCAAAGGATCTGGGTTTGATTCCCAGAACCCACATGGTGGCTAACAACCATCCGTAATTCCAGTTCCAGAGGATCTGGACTCTTCTGACCTCCACAGGCATTGCACGACACAAGTGCACTTACACACATGAATGCAATACACTTAGACACATAAAATAAAAATAACAAATAAAATATTTTTTTAAAAAGACAAATAAAACAAAAAGAATAAATAATTTTTTAAAAAAAGAATGACACCAATTTTATAGGATTAATGAATTAATGTAGATCCAGGGCCTGATACATGTACATATTATATGTGCTGTTTTTCCCACCAGGCAGTCAAATGTGTGAACCCAGGGTTTAGAGGAGAGACCAGGGCTGGAGCCATTGGCTTGTTTTTTGTCTGTTTGTTTGTTTTGTTTTGTTTTTTTGTCTAATTACCAGACGAGATGAAACTGTCCAAAAAGAGAATGCAGAAAGCCATATGTCACCCTCCTCTTCCTCCTCCTCCTCTTTCTTTTTAGCTCAGGATGCCCTCAAACTTGAGATCCTCCTGCTTCAGCCTTCTGAGTGCTTATAGGTATCCAACACCAAGCCTGGCTTAGTCATTCAATTCTGATAAGTCCATGAGGGCAAAGACCACATCACCATGCTCATCCCCATGGGCATCCCCAAATACCCTCCCCACACAGCCTGCATGCCGTAGGTGCTCAATGGGTATGTTGGGGGGATGGACTCCTCTCTGAACACACTGACTATATCTGAGCATGTGTCTCCCAGATAGAGCCTCCATCTCCCCTGGGCATGGACACATTGTGGGTTGACTCTGACTCATTCCTTTTTAGTTGTGCGTCTATGTGTGCATGTGTACATACATTTGGATGCCTGTGGAGGACAGAAGGGGGTGTTGGATCCCCTGGAGCTGAAGTTATAGGCAGTCATAAGCTGCCTGATGTGGGTGCTGGGAACTCAACTCTGGCCCTCTGCAAGAGCAGCATGCACTCTTAATCACTGAGACATCTCTCCAGCCCAAATGGTAGGTTTTGAGACAGGACTTGCTACATAGTCCAAACTGGCTCAAACTTAGTATGGGCACCCACCCCCATGCCTCTGCCTTAGTCTCTAAGTGTAAGGATTACAGGTATGCACCACCCATGCCCAGCTTTCCCACGTTCTTTGTCATAGTTGATGCTCACCTATTCTGCCAGCCTCAGCTTCAAAGTCACTTCTTGAAAGATTCCTCTGACCCTGTGCATCTCAATAACAGAACTTGGGCCTCCTAGTCCAACCCAGAGGCTCTTCCTGTGACTGCTCCAGGATGAAAAACAGTGCTCGTTCAGATGGTCAGTCAACTAAGCTGACGTACTGAGTGCATCTCTTTATCAGACTCTGTTCTAGGCACCAGGGGAGCCACAAACAAGTAGTGGAGGTTCTGACTCACACTGGCTTTAGACAGTGACAATCACACAAATGGACCCACAGTCATACCAGGTATGACTCACAGTCATGTGTTAATTAGAACAAGGGTCAGTGTTCTGTTTTCCTCTTCTCTAATGAATTTCTTTCATGGAGCACAAACAAGGTTGTGATGGGGCGTTAAAACTGGTCTCTCCAGGCTGGTCCAGGAGACTGTCAGTAAACAGGGACCAGCTCTTATTATTCTCTGAGCCTCCACCCACAGCCACCTCCACTCCCAGCTACCTTCAGAGGGGCAAAGGGCAGGAGAGAGAGAAGGACAGGCTGAGGTGACCTCATCTGTCAACGTAGCCTTTGTTCTTAGTAGTCCCTTTCTCAGAGAAATGGACAGCACAGTGTGCTGTCCACACACATGCACATGCACACAACATTCTACTTATTACAGTCCCACTCTGTAGATGCAGAGCACCCACTGAGGCAGAGTTGAGACAAGAGACAGGCTCTGGAACCTATATTCTTCCTAGGCCCCACCCCACTGCTTAGAGCACCAAAAACAAGTCAGGCCTGGTGGCACACCTGCAACCCCAGCACGAGGGACACTGAGGCAGGAAGATCCAGGCCAGCCCCGGTGTCCTAGTTTGTTCCTCCATTGCTGTGACAAAACACTCTGACCAATACCAACTTGGGGAGGAAAGGGTTTATTTAGCTTCCATATCCCAGGTCAAAGTTCATCAGGGAGCCCAAGGTAGGAACTCAGGGCAGGAACCTGGAGGCAGGAGCTGGAGCACAGGCCATGGAGGAACGCTGCTTACTGACTTGCTCCCCTGGCCCCTGCTCAGCCTGCTTTCTTATGCAACACAGACCCACCTTCCCAGGGGTGGCACCCCCCACCATGGGCTGGGCCCTCCCACAACAATCAACATCAAGAAGATGCCCCATGGACATGGCCACAGGCCAGTCCAATGAAGGCAATTCCCTAGTTGAGGCTCTTTCAACCCAGGTGTGTCAAGTTGACACTAAAGCTATCCAACACACCAGGCTACAAGCAAGACCTTGTCTCAAAAACAAACAAAACCACTGAAGGGGCAGGGATGTAGCTTAGTTGGTAGAGTGTGTGGATAACATTTCGGAAGTCCTGGGTTCAATCCCTAGCACCCCATAAAACTGGGAGTGATGATGCATGCCACCTGTAATCCCAGCACTCAGGAGGTGAAGGCAGGAGCCTCAGAGGTTCAAAGTCGCCTTTGGCTACATTGTGAGTTCAAGGTCAGCCTGGGTTACATGATGCTCACTCTCTTTCAAAAAGGGGGATCATGTTATAATTCTTTTGTCATAATCACATATGCACCTAAGTACATTATGACTATAGTAATAAATATATAAATATGCAACATACACATATATGTGGACCTGTGTGTGCATGCCACACTATTGCTTCTCAATAGTCCTGAGTTAAGGGAGACACATTTCTCCTGCTTGCTATTCTTATTATCAAAAATACTAATGACCATCCCACTAATTATATCATTATCAGTACATCCAGATAGTATTGATATTGCATTCAGGTATCAAGAGCTGATAGCCAAGTAACAGAGATTTAGATTGGGATTTGTTTCATGACATACCATTAGTCTGGAGCCAGGCACTAGAGAGCTGATGCAGTGGCTGCAAGCGACATCAAGGACCCAAACCCTTCCCATTCCTCTAAACCACCATCCTAACCATGTGGATTTTCCATCCACAGGTTTGTTGTCTCATTGTCCCCAAAAGGTTGCTGCGGCTCCAGGCATTGCTTTGAATTAAAAGGCAGAAGCAGCAGTGCCTTGTTAACAGGATGGTAAAGGCTTTCCTGAAAACGTTCAACATTCCCTCTTACATCCAATTAGCTCAAATGTTGTGGGGCGCCTACTTTTAACTCTCAGAGAAGATGCAAAGCTACCAGTGGTTTCTCAAACTTTGTGAGGGAGGAGGAAAAGGAGGAGGGGGCTGGGAATGTTCACTTTATAACCTAAGTGCTTAATGGTTTAGCAAACAGCTACTTGGCACTTTCATGACAAGTACAGGTAAGGTCCAGAGAGGGCAGACTTGTCAGGTCACACAATGAGATGGGGAGGCAGACAGAACTCTAGCTGAGTGCTGAGCTCTTCTCAGTTACACACACTGATATTTTCTGGCCACAACTTGTACCCAAAGATACTGCAGGGCAGGTGGGAACATCTGCAGGGTCTGCAACCTGGGCCTAGGGACAGATACGTCCTGAAACCCAAGACAGTTCCTTCCCTACTCCAAGTCCAACGGGAAAGCCCAGCCGATATATCAGGAGCTTTTAGATAATGGAGCTGGGGTCCCATCAGCCTCTCCTACAGACAAAGGAGGGGAGGTGACTGTATTAGAAAGAGGGTGTGAGTGAATGGAAGGACAGTACAGAGGAAGCATGGGCAGAAGGTAGGAGGAAGCTGGGATGCTGGGCAGCAGGCGGGGAGGAACACCCCTGACAGCTAGGTGGGTTCATGTCAGTTCCACCTCAGTCACCACCAGTCTAGTGAGAGTGACCAGCCTCTTGGCGGAAGAGGGCTACGGAGACAGAGGGGAAAAAAGCCTTCCCACCCTGAGGGACCAGACAGTGTCTAGGGGTGGTAAACACCCTCCCCCTGGGTTCCTTGCTCCTGCCCCCACACCTCACAACAGTCAGGCCCAGCCCAGACCCTGACACATAACATACTTAATGCATTGAGGGAATAATCCGGGGCTACAGAGCAGCAAGCCTACAAATCAGCTACTTCTACAAATACACAGAAGGTCACCAGGAGCATTCTAGGATTTTTCCCGAAAGGAGAAACAAGGAGAGGCAATGTGTATGTGTGGGGAGGGAGGTGCTCAGGCCTCCTCATGGAGAGGGGTCTCCAGTGGAGAGGCACAAGGACCCAGAGCATCTTCAAGACAGTCTCCAATGGGAGAGCCAATGGGATCCAGCAGAAACCAGCCCTTCCAGTCCCTGCTTTCCACCCTGCACCAGATTCCCCAGTCCCCAAAGCTGCCTGCCCCCCATTGGATCTGTGCACCATCCTTTTCAAGACTCTCATTCCCAGGCATGGCATTCCACCCTCAAACCCCAGGATGGCTGCAAAGGCATCGAGCCTCACATCGAGGGCGAGGGGCATGGGACATAGAAGACACACACACACACATACACACACACATACATGGACTTGTTTATTGGGCAGAGTCTTAGAGACTCAGTAAGGCACGTGGTCCAGGAAGGGGGCAGGCTCCGCAGCACAGACCATAATGTGGGGGCACCCAGCAGGGTGGGCACCCCCTGCCAGCTGAGCAGCTTTGAGCAGCTCTCTCCTTCAGCACCCCCTGCTGGGGATCCTGAGGCCAGGGGCTCTTCTGTCCCAAGGGTGAGTGCCCATGGCCAACAGCAGTGAAGGGTGGGACTTCCACCAGAGGGTGATGCTCCACAGACCCTGAAGGCACTGAGAACAGAGGGTCCTGACTTGGGCAAGTCCTGGAGGAGGGTGGGCAGGTTAGGAGAAGGGTAGGCCGGCCCTCAGTGAGCCCCAAGGCACCAGGCGGGCAGGCTGCAGGATATTCTCAGCTGAAGTCTCGGTTGGGCAGGAGAAGGGGGGCCACCAGGGTCCACAGGTACAGTAACAGGCCTGCCCAGCTGGCACAAATCTTCACCCACACAGAGGTCCACGTGCTGATCATCTTCTGGGTCTCACCAGGGCTGGAACATACAATCCAGCTGGTGAGCCTAGCCCCTGATCCTGTGACCTCAATCCTGTTCTCTGATCTTATGAGCTAGTTGTGAGATCTAAATTCAACACTGACTCTTATCCTATAACTCTAATCCCTGTCTCTGACACTGGAGACACTTAGCCTTATGACCCTGGACAAAGCTCCTGGCCTGAACCACAGATCTGATCTTGACCTCAATTCTATTCTTGACCCCAGTTCTAGATCTTGAATTTACTTGGCTCCTGGTCCATAACTTTGTCATCCTGACCCAGGCATGGTGGTTCACACCTATAATCCCAGCACTTGGGAGGCAGAGGCAGGAAGATCAGAAATTCAGGATCATCCCCAGATATATAGTAAGTGTGAGATCAACCTGGACACTATCAACGGGACACTATCTCAAAACCAAAACAAACAAGTCCTAGGGCTAGCCAAGCCTGGTGGGTCAGGCCCATAATCCCGGGCAAAGCAAAAGGATCTCAGGTTCAAAGTCTACCTGGGCTACATGGTGAGACCTTATCTTAAAAACCTTTTTGTGGCCAGACGTGGTGGTGCATGCCTTTAATCCCAGCACTCTGGAGGCAGAGGTAGGCGGATATATGTGAGATCGAGGCAAGCCTGGTCTACATAGTGAGTTCCAGGCCAGCTGGGGCTGCAGGGAGACCCTGTCTTAAAAGAAAAAAAAAAAAATCCTTGTTGTATGGTGCTGAACAGATTGCTCAGAGGTTAAGAGCACTCAGGTTTGGCACCTGAGTACAAACATGGTCCCATTCCTTGAGCAGAAACCAGAATACCCAGGAGGAGCTAGAACAGACCCACAGAGTACACCGAGGGCAGTCCAGGTCCATCCCTGCCCGCCAGGCAGCCTGAAACACACCTGTACCAGTTGGTGAGTGTCATCATGATGTGGAGGGAGGCCAGCACCAGGCAGAAGTGGAAGAAGGAATAGCTGTAGGTGACACCATCCTGCTCGTTGTCATAGGCTCGGCCCTCGCAGATGGCGACCTGCTGCTGCTGCATGGTCTCCACTTGACAGTCCTCCGTCCGCATCAGGCTATTCACCTGCCGGTGGTCAGAGGAGCGCAGACTGGGGGAGACGACGGCAGGCTGTTAGGCCACTGCTGCTGTGGTGGGCAGACAGTTTGGGTCGTGTGTGTGTGTGTGTGTGTGTGTGTGCACATGTACATGTGGGTGCACTTGCCTGGGGCATGTATGTGAGTATGCTCAAGTACATATATGTGCATGTGGGTGTGCATGCATGTGTGTGTGTGTATGTGTGTAAGCCAGAGGTTGATGTCATATATCTCCCTCAATGTTTTTGCCACTTTATTTTTTTATTTATTATTTTTATTTTATGTGTATGCATATATTGCCCACATGTAGGTAAATGCACCCGTGTCATGCGATGCCCACAGAGGACAGAAGAGGCCATCAGCTGTTAACATCAGACAGCTGTTAACTGCCATGTGGGTGCTGGGATTCAAACCTGGGTCCTCTACAAAAACAGCCAGTGTTCTTAACCACTGAGCTATCTCTCCAGCCCCTACTTTATTTTTTCAAATGAGTTTTTCACTGGAGCTTGCCGTTTCATATACACTGGCTGACCAAGAAGCCCCTGGCATCCTCCTGTCCCACTCCACTCCTTGCACTAGGCTTATAGGTATGTGCCACCACAGCCAACTTTTTTAAAATTTATTTTTATGTGTATGAATGTTTTATCTGAATGTAGGTAAGTGTATCTGTGTATGCAATGCCCATGGAGGTCAGAAGAGGGCATCAGATCCCCTGGAACTGGTGTTACAGATGGTTGTGAGTTGCCATGACAGTGTTGGGAAGAGGACCTGGGTCCTGTGTAAGAGCAGCTAGTACTCTTAACCACTGAACCATGTTTCTAGTCCCTCATGGCCAACTTTTTTTGTTTTTTGAGACAGGGTCTCCCTGTAGCCCCCACATAGTCTGAAACTCACTATGTAGACTGGCTGGCCTTGATCTCCCTGAGCTTTCACAGAGCCTGCCTCTCCCTCTCAAGTGCTGGAATTAAAGGCATGTGTAACCACACTGGGCCCATGGCCAGTTTTTAAATGTGGGTGTTGGGGATTAAGGCTCAGGTGCTCATGCTTAACACAGGAAGCACTTTACTCACCGAGCCATCTCCCCAGCCACCTGATTGTTTTTTGAAAGAGTCTTTTTTTTTTTTTTTTTTTTTTTTTTTTTTTTTTTTTAAAAAAAAAAAAAAAAAGAGGACGATAAATCTTTCACTGTGATATATCAAAATAA